TTCCTCCTCCAGTCATGTTGGCTCAGGAACTCTGGCATTGAAGTGTGCAAGTCTTAAAGCTGTCAAGTTACAAGACCCTTGTACCCCTAACCCTTAAGAAAAAAAAACCCAGGGGTATTCAAACTTGACAGCTTTAAGGCTTTAAGGTTTAGATAGGACTCTTAGAGGCAGGCGGAGTGATTGGTGAGCCAGCCGATCAGTGAGTGGCGGGCTGGGCAAGCATGGTGCGGACAGGCGGGGGGAGGAAGCTGGAACCAGTTCTAAACTGCACGGTAGATTTGTGGAACCTCTTCTATAGAAGAGTTAGAACTGGCAGGAACCCACTCCTGATTAAAATGCAACTCTGGAGCAGAAGGCTAAAGTACAAATAATACCACCATGTAAAATGATCTATCTTAAAGCAGCAGAGTAAACACACTGACAGCAACACATCCCTGTACAAAATGTCCAACTGAAGCTTAAATGGACAAGTGTTTCATATGTAATCTTAAAAGCTAGCAGGATGTTGCACCAATCATTGTTGAACCATCTCAGGGTCTGAAAACTGAATGTATATGAAACTAGTTCCAGCTTTCTATATCCTCTTCCTTTTCCAGTATTATACTGGCTCCATCAGGAATGATCCTCAGGAAGAATAAGTATTTATATTATTTAATTAATTAATTCTAAATATGTTTGCATTAGGCTGTTATGAAAATATGCAACATCAGCAGGGTTTTTTTCCTTCCTAAGAAATTTCTAATCCAAATTAAAAAATAATTTCCTTAGATGAATAATATGTGCATATATTATGGTTGATATGAAGTGGACAAAGTGCAAAACCACCAATATTTTTTCATGGGGAGCACAAAAGAGAACCAGTCCTTGTCTTTTTTCATTTTTTTTCTTTGGACAGAAAAAACAACAACAAAAAAAATTTTTAAAGCTAAATTAAGAAGAAAAAAAACCAAATGCATGAGACAGGAAAAAATTAACTAGAGAATGACTACAGTGTATTTATATTATATGACTGCACATTGAATCCTAATGAGAATACTAATATTTTAAACAATGATATTCAATAATTCCATCCTGGACAACATATAGTACAAACCAAAATAATCCATTAAGAAAACTGTTGTTAAAAAAGTAAAACCTGAAGCTTTTTCAAAAGGCAATTGGACTTTGGGGGTTTTCTTTGAAGGCGTTTCCCCACCATCCAGTCAGAGCTAAGAAGCTTCTTGGATGAGAAGCGAAACGCTTTCAAAGAAAAAGCAGAAATTCCAGTTGCTTCTTGAAAAAAGCACCTTTGGGACAACCATGACCTGGATGACTGAGAATCTCTAGAGACACTTTGGGAAAAGGGATGTCCATTAAATCTGATTGTCCATGTTAAATCCAATTTTAAATAAATGAATGTCACTAATTTATGTCACTTGTGCCCTGAGTCATCATTTGCACAAGTGACATAAATGAATGCAAATTCCACTGAAACATCAATTATGCAATGGTATTGTATATCAATAGTCCAGTCTGCTTAGGAAATGAAAATATGAAATAAAACTGAAGTCTGAAGAATTGTGCCAAGTAAAATTTTGTCCATTACATCCAAATTTGCCTAAATGGAAGTCTGAGGAATTGAGACTTTCGCCCTATAGCTAATACTTGGGGACTGAACTGGACTATATTTATTCTTCATTGCAAGGTTTTATCAGTGTTCTCTACTGTCCTTCATTATCTGCCAAAGCAATTTCCAAAGAAGGTCAGTCTTATTATGGAAGTATCATGAAAAATCAGTAAATGACAAGTTATGTACTTTAGTATAGCTTTTGCTGGTTAGGTTAGGTTAGGTTTATTTAGCTTGTATGCCNCTTGGTGCGTCTTATACTCCAGTGCATTTTTTACTCCAAAATACTCTTTTATACTCTTTTTTCCCTTCACACCAGTGGCTGGACTGAGCTATTTTTGGCCAGTTAACCAGATCAGAGTGAAATGTACCCAAACTCACCAAGTAAATAAATCACTGCTGTTCTCCCTGGAGGGCTCCCTTCTTCGTTTGGCCAATTGTTATCCCCAGCAGCCCCAGCAAAGCTGGCGCATCTTATTTTTAGACGGAGTTTGAGCCCCCAAGCAAGGCTTCTGCAGTCCTGCACATTTTCATCCAAATATTTGTCTTGGTTTTTGACAGTGGGAGATGCAGATAACGCAGATAGGAATGTGTGCAGATTAAGAAAGAGCATGGCCCTTCGGTTGGGGAAAATGCCTCGAGGGAAACAATTCCAACTAGCTGTAGAGATTTCCTACATCGATCTACACGTGGTGCACAAAATTGTCTGCTACAAACATCTTACCCGTCAACGACCTACTTCAGCCTCAACCGCAATAATTCCCGGGCAAACAATAGATACAAACTCAAGGTTAACCGCTCCAATCTCAATTGCAGAAAATACGACTTCAGCCACAGAGTGGTCAACGCCTGGAATGCTCTACCCGACCTCCATTGTTACATACTCAAAGCTCCACAGCTTCAACCTTAAACTGTTCACCGTGGACCTCACCCCATTTCTAAGAGGTCTGTAAAGGGGGCCTGCATAGGCACACCAGCGTGCCTACCGTCCCTGTCCTACTGCCCCCATTTATCTGTATTTACTTCCTTTGTTCTTGTTTATGTTCATTCCTATACTTGTTATTTTGTACATGTCTGATGAACAAACAAACAAACAAACAAATATTTTATTCCATTAAAAATATACCTCCCTCAGACCAATAAGATTGCACAGGATGGGCCTTCTCCGGGTGCCTTCAGCGGGACAATGCCGGCTGGCGGCGCCTAGGAGTATGGTCTTCTCTGTTGCCGGTCCGGCCCTATGGAATGAGATGCCCCCAGAGATCCGGGCCCTGCCCACTCTCATGGCCTTTCGCAAAGCCATTAAAATCTGGCTTTTCCAGCAGGCTTGCGACTGTTGACCCCTTAATTGAGGTCCAGCCCCTTCTGATTGGGTGACTGTTGTGTTCCTTTTTAACTTTGTTGTGTCCCATTGTTTTTAATAATTCTTTTTAATCTTTTTTTTTTTTCATTTCTGTAAGCCGCCCGGAGTCCTCCAGGATTGGGCGGCATAGAAATTCAATAAATGAAATGAAATGAAATG